AATGCGGCGAGCAGCAGCAGCAGCAGCAGCAAACACGTCGGGCAGCAGCGCATTCAACTCGGGGCCCCCCAGCGATTCCATCTGACCATTCAGCAGAGGCTTCTGCTGCTGCTGCTGTTGTTGTTGTTGTTGTTGTTGTTGCTGTTGCTGCTGTTGCTGCTGCTGCAGCAGCTGCTGCTGCTGCTGCAGTCGAGCAGCAAAACGGCTAGCTACAGCAGCTAGCCGTTCATCTTCAAGGCCAAGCTGTTGCAGCTCCGCTACAACTTCTGCTTCCCAGCTGCTGCTACTGCTACTGCTGCTGCTGCTGCTGCTGCTGCTGCTGCTGACTATTTGGCTGCGAGTCGTGAGGTCCTGTACCTTGAAATCATTCTTGATGCTGTTGAGAGCTTCTGCTGCAGCGAAGACGTGCTGCTGCTGCTGCTGCTGCTTGTGCTGCTGCTGCTGCTGTTGCTGCTGCCCTGTCTGCTTCGGGTGAATATGCTGCAGCAGCCCGAAGCTGTCCTGTGCAGCTACCTTGACTCCTAAATACTTGCTGCTGCTGCTGCTGCTACTGCTACTGCTACTGCTGCTGCTGCTGCTGCTGCTGAAAGGCAGTGCTGAAGCAGCAGCTGGGAGGCCGACGCTGCGGGCCCTTCTACTTGGGGGCTTTGAGTCCTGGCGGCGCTGGTTCCCTGCTGCTGCTGCTGCTGCTGCTGCAGGAGGCTGCTGCCTGCGAGCTGTCTCCTTTTGTCTCTGTTTACAGACTTCAATGTGGCGGTCGATGGATTTCAAACAAAAACGTCGGAGACACAACGGGCACCGCGCAGCTGGTATCAGCCGCCACCTGCAGCAGCAGCAGCAGCAGCAACAGCAGCAGCAAAACGAAAGAAAAAGGGTTAGAAGCAGGAAAGGAGAGAACGGCAAACTCAAGAAACACTTATTAATCAATCAACACAAAAAAGACAGCACCAACACACCAGCAGCAGCAGCAGCAGCAGCAGCAGCAGCAATCAGTGCAAGGCCACTAGAAAAGCTGGTGTTGCTGCTGCTTCTGCTGCTGTTGCTGCTGCTGCTGCTGCTGCTATCATTTCTAAGGGTTCACCTGTCTTCAGGTCGCGCCCGCTGCAGATCAGTGCGGCCGCAGGTTGCCCCCTTCTTTTGCTGCTGCTGCTGCTGCTGATGCTGCTTATGTTGCTGCTGCTGATGCTGCTGCGGATGCTGCTTTTGCTGCTGCTGCTGATGTTCGTGGTTTGGCTGCCCCAGTAGTTGCTGTTGCTGCTCCTGCTGCTGCTGCTGCTGCTCATGAAGGTCCTCTGCTGCCGCGCTGAAGTCGCTAGCAAGACGGCTGCTTGCAGCCCTGCTGCTGCTGCTGCTGTTGCTGTTGCAGCTGCTGTTGCTGCTGCCGCTGCTGCTTTGCTGCAGAGGAGGCGGCTCCCCTGGAGAGTTTGTAAAGCAGCTGATTCCACCGCTTTGCTGTGTCTCAGCAGCAGCAGCTGCTGCTGCTGCTGTTGCTCCTGCTGCGGGCTCAGCCTGAGCTGCAACGCCATCAGAAGCAGCAGCAGCAGCAGCAGCAGCAGAAGCAGCAAGCAGTTCTCCTGTACCGGCGACGGAGTCCCCCCTATCTTCTGCACTTTCAGCTGCTGCTGCCTCTGCTGCTGCTGCTTCGCTTTTTGTCGCTTCTGTTTGTTCTGCTGCTGCTGCTGCTGCTGCTGCTGCAGCTGCAGAACCGGCGCTCCTCAACGTTTGACTAGGCTCCGTGTGTAGAGTTCTTTTGCTGCTGTTGCTGCTGTTGCTGCTGCTGCTGCTGTTGCTGCTGTTGCTGCTACCTCTCTCATATTTTATTGCTGCTGCAGCGGAAGGCAAAGCAGCAGGAGCAGAGTCAGACTGATGCAAGCTTGTGTGGCTTCTGCTGCTGCTGAAGGTTTCGTCTGTACGCTGTCTGCTGCTGCTGTTGCTGTTGTTGTTGCTGCTGTTGTTGCTGCTGCGAGCAGAAGCCCAGCGCGAAGTTGCTGCAGCTTTGGCTGCTGCTGCATCTCTTCGTTGTTTAACCATTTGCTGCTTTAATAGTAGCTGTCTCTGCTGCTCCCGCTGCTGCTCTAGCAGCAGCTGCTTCAGCAGCTGCTCCTGCTGCTGGCGCTGCTGCTTCTGCTGCTCCAGCTGCTGCTGCTTCTGTCTCTGTCTCTGCTGCTTCAGCAGCTCTTGCGTTTGTGCTGCCTCGCAAATCTTTATGTGCTTCTCTATTCTTGAAGCGGTGAAATTCCTGAAGGCAAACAAACACATAATCCTGCTGCTGCTGCTGCTGCTGCTGCTGCTCCTGCTGCTGCTGCTACTGTTGCTGCTGATGCTGCTCTTGCTATTACGTGGTTGCTACTACTACTACTACTACTGCTGCTGGTGTTGCTACTACTGCTGCTTCTAGTGCTGCTGCTGCTGCTGCTAGTGCTGCTGCTGCTGCTGCTAGTGCTGCTGCTGCTGCTGCTACTACTGCTGCTGCTGCTACTAGTGCTGCTGCTGCTGCTGGCAGTAATTGTACAGCAACAGCGCGGAGGGGTTTATCTGCAAAGGGATGGAGTCTGACCTCAGACAGCAGCAACATTGCTGCAGCTCTTCTTCCTGCTGCTGCTGCATCTGCTGCTGCAGCAGCTGCTGTTGCTGCCGCTCGATTGCCTCTTCAAAGTTTTCTATGCCACGTACAGGGAGGTCATCCACCTGCTGCTGCTGCTCCTGCTGCTGCTCCTGCTGCTGCTCCTGCTGCGGCTCCTGCTGCGGATTCTCTTCTTGCTGCTTTTGCTGCTGCAGCTGCCACTGGCTCGCGAGTTCTTTCTGCTGCTGTATCAGTTGCTGCAGATGCTCGTCCTTTTGCTGCTGTTGCTGCTGCTGCTGCTGCGGCGGCGGCGGCGGCGTTTCCGAGCCTCCGACCTCCGCAGCAGCAACAGCCATATCCTGCTGCTGCTGCTGCTGTTTCTGCTGCTGCTGCCGTTGCTGCTGCTCTTGTTCAGCTCTCTGAAGCAGCAAGGATGGAAGCACCTGAGGCAGATACAAAACACAGCAGCAAAAAAGCAAGTGCAACAGCAAATACGGTACTACTACTACTGCTGCTGCTGCTGCAGTTGCTGCTGCTGCTGCAGTTGCTGCTGCTGCTGCAGTTGCTGCTGCTGCTGCAGTTGCTGCTGCTCCGCACCTCTGCTGCTCTCGTGCCAATAGATGAGGGCCCCTTCAGCAGCTCTAGCTGCTGCTGCTGCAGTTGTTGCTGCAGCAGCAGCAACTCCACATGCCCTCTGCTATCTTCTCTCTCAGACTTCAAGCAGCTCAGGAAAAACTGCTGCTGCTGATGCTGCTGCTGCTGCTGCTGCTCCTGCTGCTGCATATCTCTCGGCGAGTCGGTGCAGCTGAGGCTGATGAAGCGGCTGCTCGCGTTGCTGCCGCCTGCTGCTGCTGCTGCTGCTGCTGCTGCTGCATCGTCGGACAGGTTCTGCTGCTGCTCAAGGGACCCGCGGAGACTAGCGGCAGCGGTGGGGGGCCTCAGAATATCACTTCCGCTGCTGCTGCTGCTGCAGTTGCTAGTTAATCGACCCCTGCTGCTGTTGTTGCTGCTGTTGCTGCAGTTGCTCGCTAGTCTCCCGCTGCTGCTGCAGTTGCTGCCAAGCCCGCTGTAATAGCCCCTCCCTCCTCCCTGAGGGGGGCTAAAGTCAGACTGTTGCTGCTGCTGCTGCTGCTGCTGCTGTTGCAGCTGCTGCTGCTGCTGTGCAGCTAGCAGCAAAGCTGCTGCCTGCAGCAGCAGAGGGTTTTGCAGCGCGGTGGAGACAGCAGCAGCGTCACCTGGAGGTTGCTGCTGCTTCTCTGCTGGTTGCGTTTCCTGCTGCTGCTGCTGTTGCTGCTGCTGCTGTTCGCTTGCTGCAGACTCAGCAACTGGTCCAGGCCCTTCTGCTGCTGTTGTTGCTGCTGCTGCTGCTGCAGCAGCAGCTGGCCCCGCAGGCTCTGTCTGCTGCTGTTCTGTTTTCATTTTGCTAGTTTGACTGGAGAAGGAGCTGCTGCTGGTGTTGCTGCTGCTGTTGCTGCTTCAGCAGCAGCAGCAACAACAGCAGCAGCAGCAGCAGCTGCTGCTGCTGCCTCAGCTGTCTGGTACTGAAGACTCTCTATGGCGATGAGGGAGAGGTTCTGCTGCTGCAGCTCTGTGTGTATGTACAGCATTAAAATAATACATTCAAATTAGTTAAAATAAAAAACTTTTAATTACTGCTGCTGCTGCTGCTGCTGCAGCTGAGAGGCAACCGACGCACAAACACTGGAGGGCCACTGGTCGGCTGCGCCGCTGCTGCTGCTGCTGCTGCTGCTGCTGTTGCTGCTGCTGCTCTTGAAATGCAATTCTTAATTGCCTTTAAGGCACCAAAAATGCTAAAAAATTATTGCGAGAAAAATTAACAGGAGACACACTGAGGGACACCAGCAGCAGCAGCAGCAGCAGCAGCAACAGCTGCAGCAGCAGCAGCAGCAGCAGCAGCGGAGAAAGCCAACGGGCCTCCTAAGGCGGGAGGGACAGCGGGCGATACTGCTGCTGCTGCAGCAGCAGCAGCAACAGCTAAACAAGTCAAGCGTTTATATCTGCGAGTTGATTACTAAAACCCCCTCTAAACAATAAAACCCTAAACCCTAAACCCTAAACCCTCTCCGTTCAAGGTCCCTTGCAAGGTCTTGCCTCCAACCCCCAGCTTTAACCCTAAACCCTAAACCCTAAACCCTAAACCCTGAAATCTAAACCCTAAACATAAATCCAAAAAATAAACCCTAAACCACAAACCCTAAACCCTAAACCCTAAACAGAAGAACTGTGTGTGCAGTCGGCATGACCGCTGCCCTCGTTTGCAGCTACGCCTGGTACTCTTGCTGCTGTTGCTGCTGCTGCTGTTGCTGCTGTTGCTGCTTCTGCCCGTGCTGCTGCAACTAGCGGTGCTGTCGATGGTGCTCTGTTGCTGCTGCTACAGGTGCTGCGGCTGCTGCTGTTAGATTGAAGGGCATGCGTTAGAGACTATTAATTGTTTTGCTGCTGCTGAGACGAGCAGCAGCAGCAGCAGCAGCAAGGGCAGCAGCAGCACTAATTGCTTCTTCTGTTGCTGCTCTTCCCCGTTGGTTTTACTGCTACGCTTGCTGCTGTTTCTGTTGCTGCTGCTATTGCTCATTCTGCTGCTACCTGAGCTGCTGTCGCCGCCACTATTGCTGCTGCTGCTGCTGCTGCTCTTGCTGCTGTTGCTGCTCTTGTTGCTGCTGCTGCTGTTGTTGCTGCTTTGCAGCTGTGCATAGATTGAAAGGGGGCGCGTTAGAGGCTATTAATTGTTTTGCTGCTGCTAAGACGAGCAGCAGCAGCAGCAGCAGCAGCAGCAGCAATAACAGCACTAATTGCTTCTTCTATTTCTGCGTGTGTCCGCCTCTCATTTCTTTCGTTTGTCTCTAGAGGCGCTCGCTGCTGCTGCTGCTGTCTTGCTGTTTCTGTTGCTGTTGCTGCTGCTGCTGCTGCTGCTGCTGCCATGCCTATTATTAAAAATTATTATCGTCTAGGCAGCTGCCTCTGCAGCTGCTTCTGTTTGCTGTTTCTGCTGCTGCTGCTGTTGCTGCTGCTGCTGTTGCTGCTGCTGCTGCTGCTGCTGCTGCTTCAGCTTCCCCCCAATAGTCTAGCGCTCATTAAAACGACGAGGGCCTCCGGCGCTGTCTTCAGCAGCAGCAGTTTGCTGCCTCGCCAGCAGCTGCTGCTGCTGCCTCTCGTGCTGCAGAAAAGAGACAAAACTGTCTCCTTACTAAATCTAAAAGGAGATCCTATTGAAAAAAACTTCTGCTGCTGCTCCCCACACCCAAACGCCACTCGACGCAGAGACAAACCCTCCCACCTGCTGCTGCTGCTGCTGCTGCTGCTGCTGATGCTGCTGTTGCTGCTGCTGATGCTGATGCTGCTGCTGCTGCTGCTGGCAGCAGGGTGAGGCTTGTCAAATAGAGCCGGCAGCAGCGATACCTGCTGTCTCCGTCTGTAAACAACACAGAAAAAAGGAAGGACGCAGTTTGCTGCTAAACAAACTGCACTCAAAAGCAGCAGCAGCAGCAGCAGCAGCACCGGCAGATGGACTAGCAGCAGCAAGAGGAAAGCAGCAGCAACAGCAGCAGCAACCGCAGCAACCGCAGTAGCAGCAGCAGCAACCGCAGCAGCAACCGCATTAACGGCAGCAGCAGCAACCCAAGTAACTGCACCAGCACCAGCAGCAACAGCCGCAGTAGCAGCAGCAGCAACAGCCGCAGAAGCAGCAGCAGCAGGAGCAGCAGCAGGTGCTGCTGACCTGAGAGTTTCAAGGGGGTAGACGAAGAAGTGAGAGGCGCGAGCGGCGAAGTAAGCAGAGAGAAGAAAAGGAGACAGATGAAGCGAGCTGCTCTGTCTCCTTCTGTCTCCTTCAGCACTCAACGGCGTATCAGCAGCAGCAGCAGCAGCAGCAGGAGCTGAAGCAGGAGCTGCAGCAGGAGCTGCAGCAGGAGCTGCAGCAGGAGTTGCTGCAGGAGCTGTTGCTGCTGAAGGCGCAGCCGAAGCAGCAGAGTCCGCTGCTGCTGCAGCTGCTGCGTCGCCAGCAGGAGCAGCAACAGCAGCAGCAGCAGCAGCAGCAGCAGCAGCAGCAGGGACCTGAGGGAGGTTTAGTTTGGTAGCAGCAGCAAGAAACAGAGGAAGCAGAGATGCGTGAATGGAGACAGCTAAAAAGGAGACAGGTAAAACAGACAGACACCTCAAAGAAAAACCCGTGTATAAACCAGCAAGGCCTAAACACACGCATACACCACAAACCCTAAACCCTAAACCCTAAACCCTAAAGCCTAAACCCTAAACCCTAAACCCTAAATATTAACAAGCCTTTCCCAATACCATTCAAACCCTAAACCCTAAACCCTAAACCCCGAAAATCTACACCATACACCGTACCACTCCTGAACTCTAAACCCTAAACCCTAAACCCTAAACCCTATACTCTAAACCCTAAACACGCTAGTGTCTTCAATATATGAAAACCCTAGGGGGCCTCAGGGAGAGACAGTTGAGGTGTATATACACCTGAATGGCGAAGGAGAGCAGAGAGACAGTCGCGAGCGCTCGTAACCCCGTATCTCTGGTTTGCTGCAGCAGCAAATAAACAGCAGCAGCAGCAGCAGCAGCAGCAGCAGCAGATGAGAAACAAACGAAGAGACAGCTTTCTGCAGCAGCGGCAACAAATACATCGGTGAGGAGACAGAAGAGACAAACAAATGAAAAACAAAAAGGAGACAGATAAAGATAGAAGAAGAAAAAAAAGAGAGTAAGGAAGAGAGACAGAGACAGAGACAGAGACAGACAAAAGGAGACAGAGACAGACAAAAGGAGACAGAGACAGACAAAAGGAGACAGAGAGAGACAACAGATAAATAAAGATAAATAAAAACAAAGACAAACAAATTAAGACAAGGACAAACAAACTAAGACAAGACAGACAAAGGAGACAGAGACAAACAAATTAAGACAAAGACAAACAAAAGGAGACAAACAAAAGGAGACAGACAAACAAACGGAGACAGAAGGAGGAGACAAAGACAAACAAAGGAAGAAAATAAACAAAAGGAGACAAACAAATAAACAAATAAACAAAAGGAGACAAACAAATAAACAAATAAACAAAAGGAGACAAATAAATAAACAAATAAACAAAAGGAGACAAATAAACAAACAAACAAACAAAAGGAGACAAATAAAAACAAGACAGATAGAAGGAGACAGATAAAGACAAAACAGACAGATAAAGACAAAAGGAGACAGATAAAGACAAAAGGAGACAGATAAAGACAAAAGGAGACCGATAAAGACAACAAAGGAGTCAGAGAAAGACAAAAGGAGACAGATAAAGACAACAAAGGAGACAGATAAAGACAAAAGGAGACAGATAAAGACAAAATGAGACAGATAAAGACAACAAAGGAGACAGTTTTAATTAATTAGAGACAGAAGAATACCTGCAGATAAAATTGTGCGAATTACATCAAATGGATGCGAGCAAAAAAAAGAAGCGAAAGTACACAGAGACAAACAACCAGCCTGCACACACCAAACCCTAAACCCTAAACCCTAAACCCTAGACCCTTAATAACCCTTATTAGCCCTTAATAACCCTTATTAACCCTTAATAACCCTTAACCCTTAGCCCTGAACCCTAAACCCTAAACCCTTAATAACCCTTAA